AAAGGGAACAAACCAGAAACACTTTACCAAGGGCAGGCAGCTCAAAACTGATCATGTCCTTTCTGTTTAAAATTGCACTTTGAACCAGCGGCTGTGACTGCTGAAGAACGCTGACCAAGAAATGCTTCCCAGCCCTCTTCTTTGGGGCTTTTCTTGTGTCACCCAGTTGTCCACTTTGGAATTCTCAGCCCAAGCACAGGCTCATTGCAGAGCTCCTCTGCAGTGTGTGGCATGGGGAGTGGAGGGAGACAGCACAAGCAGAGGAATTCGAGATGGTTCTCTAATTCTTGTGAGATGGATCTCCCAAGCCCACCATGACCCCTGCCCCTCCCAGCTGAGAGGTGCTGACCAGGGGTGCGCACACAGCTTGTCTGCCTCTCTCACATCACTGCCTGGATTCTACTGTTGACATCGCATATATATCTTTTATTCATTTTTCCTATGCAAACACACATATACTGATATCTAAATATATACCTGGCACAAAATTGGGTCCCTATGCACCTATTTTGGCAACCTACTTTTAAAAAACTTTGGAGTAATTTTAGATAAACAGAAAAGACAGTAACGCTTTAGCCACCTTCCCCTAAGGTTAACTTCTTATACAACCATGGCCTATTTTTCAAAATTTAGAAATTAACATTGATGCGATATTATTCATCGATAACCTACTTTTATAATATAAAATGTACTAAGCCTTTCTGTAATTTCTCATATACTCTTTAGAAGCTGGATTTTAATAGCAAACTGTGCATGTTCCACAGTTTATTTAGTCATTCCTCTATTGTTGACCATTTTATTTTCTCTTATTTTAAATAAAATTAAATTTTATTTTCTCATTTCAATATTCTGATGAATATTGAATAGCTAAATCTTTGCACAGATTATTATTTCCTCAAATAGAATTCTCAGAAATGAACTTGAAGTCAAAAGATATTTTAAAGGATAGTGATTTATATTGTCAAATTGCCCCACCAAAAAATACAAATTTACAGGTGTTTGGGTTTTTTTGTTGTTGTCGTTTCTTTTGATTTTTGGATCTAGGTGTATCCATTGATACTTAGGTGAAAGCCAAAATATACTAACCCCCAACTTGCTAGAGATTTTCATGTACCATAGTATAGTGGAAATAAACAAGACTTGAAGTCAGGCCAACCAGGTTTAAAGCCCCATACTTGCATTTCTATAACTCACCATCTGCTTGTGCTTCATTCTGTTTATCTGAAGAATTGGTTGATGTATTATACTTTATAGTATTGTGAAGATTAAATGTATTAAATAAAGGTGAACATATTTTAGAATTCCTGGCACATAGATAGATGCTCAACCAATGTTAGTTTCCCTTTTTTTGTTTGTTTGTTTTGTTTTAATTTCTCCCCAAAGCCCTCATATTCATAATTTCTTTATAGATGAGGTATAAATATTAAAAGTTTATTTTTTATATTTTCCACCTTATGACTGTTCAGGGGCCTGCAAAGAGGTGGTTGCAGTCTTAAGAAAGTCATAGACCCCATTCCAAATAAAACAAGCATTGGGTATCCATTAAGGAGTCCTCATTAGATGGCAGTCTTAGAAATTTTGATTGGAAGTGGAATTTGTAGTTTGAATCCCCAGACGTTTTAATCAGGAACCTTTGATTCAATTTGGTTAATCATTGTTTTTATTCATTATCTCTCATAACAAGAAGCACAGAGAAAGGACTGCCCTAGGCTCAGTACAATCAATAATTCAATAATGTCATCAGGGAACAGATCTTGCCCATCTTTTTGTCATATTCATTATGTAAGCTTAGCTGTCCGACTGGCTCTTTCATGTGACAGAAAGGTGAGCCTCACATTGGGGCACTGTGTTGTAGAGACAGGAGAGGGTCTTCTGCTGTATCTCTTGGGACCTCCCTGCAGCTCCCTTGAAAGAGCTCCCTCACTTCTCATTGACTAGAACTGGGCTTACATGTCCTTTCCTAAATCAACCAATGACAAGGAGGTGGGAAGATCTTGAGTGGGCATAGACTTAACAAGGCGTAATCGTTGCATTCGGGAACTTCTGAGTCATGTGGAGGAAAGATGAGCCAAGAGGTCTAGCATTGGCTGTTTCAGCAAAGACGCAGTGAGCAATGGGTATTGGACAATACCTGTTTTCCAGCACCTGATACAGACATATAACTGGTGTACTCCAATTCAGTTTAGTCTTTTTAAGGACCTACTGTGTCCCCCAAACTGATCAGTATGAAAAGTAGCAAAAGAGAAAACAGAAATCCTTTGAAGATTGATAATTAACAACTGATATGTGTACAAGTTTGAGTTTCGAAACGTTTAGCATATATGTTATTTATTTCAGTTAATTCTTAGAGCCAAACTAGAAGATAATTGACATTGGTATCCCTTTTTAATGAATGAAGGTGGCAGGACTCAGGAAGACTAAGTGGTTTCCTTTGAACTATGTAGCTACTAAGTGACCACACCAGAGCGCATGCACATCTCATAGTCACCAGTCTCCATGGTTTCTATGACCCCAAGCTACCTTTTGAAAAACAGAAGTCAACTAAAAGTTGTAAAAGGGTCTGCTGGATTGCGAAGTTGCCAGGTAAAGATTTTGTGTGCTATGGGGATGGCCAATCTGGGAAGGGCCAAGTCACAGAAATTATCTTCAAGAAGAAAGGTCTTGATTTATGGCCTAAAGTGGAACTACAAGGATGTCTAAAAATGTTGGGAAGGGTGAGTAGAAGGCTTGTCTTTAGTTTATCATTGGCGGTAGTTTCAGCAGGACTAGATGGGTTAAAGTACTGGAGAGCTATCCCCATTTGTCATTCCTACATATGACAGCCAGGTGGAGGAAAGTTGTGGATAAAGCTTTCCTCTATCAGCCTCCCAAGAGCTTATCAGCAGCTACATCAGTCATTGGTCATTGGAGCAAACGAGCATGCCACCCCTAGTGACTCTCTTGGTAGAATACAGGGATCCCAGGTTCCTTAAGTACAGGTGGTCCTGGGCATATTCTCAAGGGAAATTAGTGACCCCTTATATCCAGCTCTATGTGCTATTACCTCCCCCCATTTCATGTAAATAATTATCTCCTGATTTTTTTTCATTTGGAAGAGAGGATTTTTGCATACATCTCTGATGTCCAAAATCAAACTCACCATTCAGTAAGCATCAAAAAAAAAAAAAGAAAGAAAGAAAGAAAGAAAAAAGAAAAGCAAAATAGCTTCCTTTTCCATTCAAAAAGATACATTCCAATAAAGAGGTATATTCCAATGCATATTTATTTATTGCCTATTATGTGCCAGGACTAATATTAGCCTAGGGGTACAGCAGTGAACAACAACAAAAAATGATGTCTCTGTCTTCATGGAGATTATATTCTAATGGTGTGTGTGGGGAGGACGGGGGGGAGAAATAAATAAAAAGGTAACTTTAGATAAATTACCTTGAAGGATGTGGGGGTTAAAAAATTACTACTTTTCCTCCCACCGTCTAAGATCTTGTAACTTGGCTAATCATCATATTAATATTAACAGAGACAGATTAACTGGAGAAAATCAAAGTTTTAATCTATGCATATGAGGAATTCACATAAGTATAAAAATTTCAATGACAGTGAGGCAATGCTGGGTACATCAGACATCTTTGAACAGAGGAGAAAAGACGGGGAAGGGCTATTAGCTTTCAGAACTGGGGTTGGTTGATTTACATGTAGTTGAGGAAGAGGGGGACATACATGGCAGGAACATTCTTGCTGGGGAACTCGAAAACAATTGGACATGGTGTATCTAGCCTGCCTGATGTCCTTTTATTTAAGGTACTTACTTCAAATTAGGCAGCATTCTAAGGTTTTCTGACTGAAGCAGATTTCTGTTTGAATCTCTTGAGCAGGAAAGGGGGAGGGTCAAAAGTTATTTTGTGAGTCTTTTTTCTTAATAAACAGCTTAAAATCAATACCTCAAAAAGGCAGCTTCGTGGTGGCAAAATGTTGCCTTCCTTTCAGGTATATAATAAAATTCCATGAAGGGAACTCACAGGATGGTGTATGATAGAAAGTAATTCTAGAACAGCCTCATTAGTAACAGCGAGCTGAAATATAGAACCTTCTTTCAGAATAAGGAGAAGCATTTTAGGCAGAGTAAATACCAATGAAAATTCTCTAAAGAGGCAGAAAGTTTGGCCAAATTTCTGAACATAGAGTAGGCCAGGTTAGAAGAATCACAGGGAGAGAAGGAAAGATTAGCGTGAGGGGAGACTGAACCAGTGGGCAGTGGAGGGTTTGAATTTATTCTAAATGCAAGGAGGCAAAAGGAGTTTTAAGTAAGGAGGTGACATCTGAATAGTAGAGAGTCCAGAATACTTGTAGTAGAAAAGCAGAGATAGTGCCCTGATACAATACGAGTAGACTTTCAGCAACACGTCAGATTCATGGAAGAATTATTATATGTTTATCATCTGCTCTAGAGTCTCAGGGGAGAATCCTGGTTGTAGTTTACTCATCTATAAAATACGAACAAAGTTTTTAACTCAGGGAAACTCTTTCTATTCTGTTTCCCTTCTAATTAGTAATAGGAAAAAAAACTTTATGTTGACGTAGAACCTTATTATTTATAACAGCACTTCTAGCATGAGATGCTTGATGATTGCGTATATGTGTGTGTTTCTCTGTTTGTCAATCAAAGGTCAAACTGTGGAGGCGAAGTCTATTGAGAAAAAAATAACTACGGAGGCACCAGTATTATTGCCAGTTTTTGAAAACATTTTCATTTGGGTTTAGAAGGGGAAAAATGAATTAACAAGAATTTAGTATTCTAGGAGGGCAGGAACTGGCAGAGGCGTTGGATGATCATGGCGGTCATGTTGTTAGCAAGTGAGTAACATAATAATTTTAACAATCATGTGGTTAACAAAAAATGTGAGCTTTGTTTAAAGACTTAGAGGCAGCAAGGGAAATAGAAAATGTCCACTCTGACTCTAACACTCTCTGTGTGTTCACCTCACCTCCATTTTTTTTTCCAGACTCACAGTACCTCACGTGCCGAATGCAGAACTGCACAGAGGCCAACAGAAATAAACCTTTTCCAGGCTACATTGACCCAGACTCTTTGATTGTCCAGGATGATTATGTGTTTGTGCAGGTATGAAAAATCTACTTTTATTGATTGTCTCACAGACATTTTCCTGTTTCTGGCCCTAATGCAGCCCTGTTTGCTGCTTTGTCTCCCTTAAGAGTTAAAAAAAAAAAAAAGAACAAAAAAGCATTATCTTTTCAGCAAAAGGAACATTGCCACGTGTAGAAGCTTCTATACTAACAGAATATTAAGTAGTTCCTTTGGGCATTGTCTGGAGGACCTTATCTACATGGGGTCATGGAGGCACAGCTCAGAGTACTGGGGTTGTCTCCAGAATGATGCACAGTTCCCCCTTCTGTGCACTCCTGTCAGTCAGTGGGACTGAGCGGACAGTCAGTGGCTTGCTAGCAGGAGAGTGGTCAGCCAATCAGCCTCCTCCACAACACCCACCTTAAACACAGAGAAACAGGTGGAAACCGGAAGCTGTGGGCTGGCTGGAGGTGGAGGGAGAGGCAGAGAAAAGGTGGTGAGTAATCAGCCATTCTCGGCATGCGCTGACTGTGATTAGGATAAAGAGAATGCAGATGAGATGTGTTCAGACAGGCTTTTCACCTCCTGAAAGAGTGGGGAACAGTGTGAGACGCTGAGGTTTCCTGAGTGGCCAGAGGAGACGGGGAGCAAGTATGCTTTGCTTCTTTTCAACATTTAAGGAACATCTTAGTCTTATCCGGACAAGGCAGTTAAAAATTTAGTTCTTTCTCTCCGTGTCAAAAGATACAATTGCTAAATTATATATTTGTATGTGTCTATAATTTCCCTGCGATTGAGGCACAGTCTAGACACTGTTGTATTTATTTAGAATGAAGTCATCATGTAGAATATTTAATCCCATGGTTTGAGGGAGCAAGGATTCAAAATGCCCAACATCAGCCTGTGTACTTTCAAAATGTGTCACAAATGATGACACGCACGCACGTTCCTTTTTCCTCAGGAAAATGAGTAATGAATACTCTGATAAGTTCAGCATCAATTATCAAGTGACATTGAAATGGTTACACACATTGGCTCTCTCTCTAATTCATTTCTCTGTCAGTGTTGCTTCCAGGAACCTTTCCTGTTTTCTAATAACAGTTTATAACCCACATGCTCATATATGATTTACAAGTGGGAATCAATTCTGCTTTTAGAGCTTCAGATCTTTTTGACCCATGCCACTATGAACACGACCCTTGTAACCCATCGCTAGGACTCAGAGGTGATCTGGCCACATGATGGTAAATACGCTAACTTTCCAATCATGTTTTTATGTGCCTGATGAACAGTCAGCCTATGTTGACATCCTGAGTATGCAAACTCCAGCTAACGTTCAAACTCCGGAAATAAGGGTTAAGGAAGACTGGTTACACAAATGCACAGAAATAGAGAGAACATGGTAGTTTCTGGGGGCAAAGGGGGAGAGAAATGGGGAGATGTGGGCCAAAGGGCACAAACTTCCAGCTATAAAATGAGTAAGTTATGGGGATCTAATATACAGCATGGTGACTATAAATAACAATACTGGATTATATACTTCAAAGTTGTTAAGAGTGCATCTTAAATGGTATCATCACACACAAAAAACTTATAATTAAGTGAAGGGATGGAGGTGTTAACTAACTTTATTTGTGGTAATTATTTTGCACTGTATATGTATATCAAATCATTTACATTTACATATGTGTATGGCAGGAATACCTCACAGCTAGGGCAGTAACCGAGTGGCTACAGGCCAGACAGAGGTTGACATGCAGTTAGTTATTGGTGCTCTTGCCGAGGTGGAGGCCACACCCCTTTTGCCCTCGCTCACGCCTGCGGGGTTCACTGCACTGTGTGTCCTGGACAAACCTGAGGGAGGTAGCTCACAATTCTTTTCTGGGAGGTCGAGGTCTAGAATGACTTTGGACCACGATCCTGGCTTGCCTTTCCGTGTAACGTGTCAGCAGCCCTGCTGTGTGTGGCACATGCTCACAGCCATCAGTGTGACAGCAGCCAACGGGAATGCAGTGCCCAGATATGTGAAACTCCAGTTGTGCCGCTATGTGACCTGGGCCCATTCCTTCTGAGATGGCATGAGGTCCTATTTGTATGGCCATCGTCTTGGGGCTAGACAGCTGGGCTGCTGATGGACATTGAGCCAGTATACCCTGAGGCGTGTATCATTAAAAACAAATAATACCTAAAAACGTTTCCTGGCTTCTGAGCCACCGTGCAAATTGAAGAATTGCATTATTGTCCGGTGGGTTCAGTTTGGGCCTCTGTCCAACTCACATACACGGTTGAAGTTGGCTTTGACTGAATGCCAATGCTTTGCACTTATCCACGGCAGTCATTCACACTGTTGTGTTGGCAGCTACCCTCTTCCATTCAGTGACTGTTCTTCTGTGACCTGTAACTGTCCCACAACCTCTGTGTTTATGATCCAGCTGACATCAGGAGGACGGCCCCATTATTATGTGTCCTACCGGAGGAATGCGTTTGCCCAGATGAAGCTGCCCAAGTATGCTTTGCCCAAGGTATGGCCTGAGTCAATTTCTTTGTTTCAATCTTTCCTCTGAGTCACACATTCTCGCCTCCACTCTCATTCCCAAGCACCCTTTCAGTCTCTCATCTGATTTATTTTTTTCATCCCCCCTCTCACTTACTCAAGTTCACTTTGCCTTACTTTCTGTTTATTTGCCAATCTCAACGCTCTCTTTTTTTCTTTCAGCAGCCTCTGTCTCTCTCTGTCGCTCTTTCTCTGAAATCCTTGCTATAGGGGCATCTGATTAAATTAATAACTGATTTGCTTTTGCTTTTCAACTGTAAAGATTTTTATGCAGTTTGTATTGGTTTTTTAGCAAGACAGAAAACATGCTTTGGACACACAGTGCCTCAGTGTAATAGGCATGTTACGTTTCTAGCCCACATTTTTATTAATTATTAAGTGATGCAGCTATATATGGTACCCAACCTTTGCTTTCTCTCTCTCTCTTATGAGACTGGTTGTCTTTAGAGTTCTAAGACACAACTAAGTTTCTAGACTGCCCCAAAGACATCTCCTTTGAAAACAGTGATGGACAAAAGTTAAAGACCCTCAGCTGCTGAAGTTCCAGGGCTGTCTTTCCGTTAGACACCGAACTGCGTTGATATGCAGCGCCACCTAGTGGACGCCAAGCTGACTTGGGAGCTCAAAGCTGTGGATTTGCGGTCTTGCTGCTATTGTGTGTGTTTTAAGTGTCAGAAGTTATTAACGTATTACATACCCTTGATCTTAGAGCAACAGAGATGTGTGTGGCTGCAAGAAGGGGACTGTGTAGGTTAAAATATGGTTATAGCTCAGCTTTCAAACCTTTGGATGGAAAAAACAATATAAAGAGCTTTTTATTGAGTTTAATGACTCTTTCTCTTGTTATTTTTAATCCATGGCATTGTAGCATGGTTTCTTGAACCAACGCCAGCTAGCTGCCCAGGAAATCATATGACAGATATGGCACAAGAGCATTGCACATCTCCTCGTCCAGGAGAGCCAGTGGTAGCCAGCTGTTGTGGCTTTCCCGGGCAGAATTCTCCTTCTTGGCTATCACTCTGCCCTTCACCCTAGCATAGTGAAAGGGGAGCTGTAAACTTCAGCCCATTAGAGATAAGAACACACCTTAAATTGTGCTATTAACGCCCAAGAACTATACCCATGTTAGTCGTTCTTATTTTTAGCTGCTTGAGTGATTTATGACCGTGGTAATTGCCCAGAACTATACGTTTCTACCTGTGTGTATTTAAATTCCCCTTGCTCTTAATTTGGCTTAAAATGTTTACCAAAAAGGCAAGAACATAAAACTTTGGAATTGAGCCTTAGATGAGATTTGGGTAAAGCCAGTTTGTAAAAGGAGCACTGAGGGTTAAACTTACCCTGGGTGGTCCCTTCAGAAGGTCCATGGTGGAGAGGAATATGTTACCTGAATAAATCCAACAGCTGCTTTTTCTTTTTCTTGAGCACTGAAACAAATTGCTGTTTCTTTGACTGACCAACAAATGAAGTAGTCAGCTTGCAAGATTTACACCTTTAAAGACAAGAATTATACCCCAGTGAGATGCTCTGGTTCACGAGACATGTGAGAACTGAGAACAAATTAATAAATAGCAGATTCAAGTTGCTCATCTCATGCTCACTCTTGGGAACGTACTTTTTTGAATGAATTAAGTCTCTACCAAACAAATACTTTTTGCAGCAGAATTTATGCTAGAATTTTAGTCTCCTGACCCCCAAAGTAGCATTCTTTATATTATACTTTTCTTCCCTTGGAATAAATTAATAACTTCTATTATTAGAAGATAGCAGTATTGCCCCAAAGTTTTGATAAACTGAGATGAATAAAAAAACAAAAACAAAAAACATTCCCATTGATCCAAGGAGCCCTAGAAATGGTAGTTTAAAATCAAAGAAACATCTTTGGACCTGTTGCCGGTGTGTTAGGAAACACACACTTTGCATTGCTTGTTTAGAACTGTACACAGATAGATCACTGTTGATAGTTGCCCCGAGTGACATCTAGCCAATCTAGGAGGAAAAGTTTTACTTCAAACCCACACCTGCTGTCTGTTCCCTTCCCCTGCTCTTCCAGATGAGAACGTTCCATTGCTCAGCCTCCTCTGAGGTCTGAGAGTAGAACGTAGTGGTTGATGTAGCTCGTCCCCAGAAAAATAGGAGCCTGGACAGCAAATGAATGTGTGAGTATTACTTGGAAACAAGTGAGTGTTTATTCTTTAAGGCAATGAGATGCCTCATTACAATCCCATTACACCTTCAAAGAGAAGCCCCAGCTTGGGTGGAGTGGTCCCCGTTTCATGCCCCTCTCTATGAAAGCCTGGGCTGCCACAGAAGGAAATAAACAAAACTTCATGTCCACCAAAGGAATCCAGACACACCAGCACTTTCATGCTCAGATTTTCTTTAATCGTCCACGGCCATTGTATCAGCTCTTAAAAGACCATGGTTACCCTGAGTTGGGTTATCCCCACCCCACCCCACCCCCACACACACAAAAAGTCATAATAAAATGGTCAAGACGACCAGAGAGGGAGATGTGGAGAGCTGAACATCACTGCGGCTGCTCCGAGCATGAGGCCTGCCAGACAGGGAGACGCAGTGACAGTTCCCTTCCCTTAACTTACTAGGAGCTCATTCTGAGCTACTCAAGTGAGATAAATGAGGCAATACATATGAAAGTGCTTTGAGCATTCCGGAGGACAGATACTCTATAAAAGCAAGGTAATATTATTATTAGTATGGATCTAGTTGTCTGTGTGGTAAAAGATCGATGTGAACTGGGGTGTGAGTGGTGCAAAGGCTGCTTGATTCGCAGCAGACCTGGACTCCAGACCTAGATGTGGCGCTAATATTCTTTGAAACCTTGGGCTGCTTTATCAATTTCTCTTTCCCTGTTTTTTTGTTTGTTTTCTTGCTGTTATTGTTTCATTCATTTGTTGTTGTGGGTTTTGTTTTGGTTTTTGTTTTTTACATTTTAAAAATAAGGAGTTTAGACTCCCAACAATATTTTCTCACATGTGAGAATAAAATCCTTAGAGAAGCTTCATGGAAATTTGGTTCTATGATCAAATAATTGAGAAAAGAAATAAACTCTATTCTATGTCCCTTGCCTAGAGCGTTTGCAGGAGCTGGCTAGTATGTCGAAGGCCCTAAAATGCCCTGGGAACAACAAAGATCTGTAACTCGGCATTAATCAAAACATTTTACTGAAGGGCTCATTTTTTTTAAATCTATGAAAATGTACCTAGGCTGGTGTCCCAGGGAACAGACTGTGGGAGACAATGGATAGTAGCAGATTTCAAAGATCACTTCTTGGTCTAAAATTCTGTGGCTCCGTAAAAACATTCGACATAAAGTGCCACTTGGGAACAAAGAGCACACTCTCCTGAGAGAGGGGGACAATATAGGCAAGAAGAAAAAAAAAAAAAAGATGTCATTTAAATATTGGGTTGTCGGAAAAGTCATGACGTATTTTTTTCTGTTTTTCATTGCAAAAATGCGTCATGCCTTTTCCGACAACCCAGTATGTCCAACCTTTCAATTAAAATATTTAAACCAACATCATTTGTAAAAAGTCTGTCCCATGTATGGAATTTGATTATATGGGGAGAAAGACACCTGACCTTGGTCTTTATCTAGAGGTGACCATTTTCATCTGCTATTGTAATATGACTAGTTCTCTAAGCGACCTAAACACTTGATGCACCCATGGTTTCAGTTCCACAGCTAAAAAAGAAAGGTTTGAGCAAGCTGGGTTAGCATAAAAGACCTCCTCTAGGGCCGAAGTTTCTTTAATCAGACATCTGTTGCGATCCAGCTTTTAGAGGTTCCCTAGTACACAAACAACGGACTCCAAAGGAACAGGGATAGTTTTGCAGGGGCCAGGTTATCGCTGACTCTTTTAACTTGAGTCCAGGGGTGATGCTGCGTCCTGCTGACAAGGAAGGAAAAACATGAGTTGGGAGGAGTTCTTTGAGGTTTCCAATGCCAGGCTAGGGACTTTGGTCTTTATCCTGTTGGAAATGGAGATCCATAGAAGGTTTGCCCCCGATGGTTGAATGGCCCTTGCACTGATTTCCACAGCTAACTCCCTCCATTAGGAAGAAACAAAACACTTGAGTGAGCCACTTTTTGTTGAGTATATTAGCATCCTAACATTTACAGTGAGCAGAAAGGCCAAATCAAGCTTGCTTAATCAACAAAGGGGATGTAAGGGCTTGCTTAACTGAAAATTGCTAGCAGGTATGGAGCAGATGCTAAGTGCCAGGCGCCATCATAAATAAGTGCTTAACACTTACTGGCTGATTGATCCTTCCAGCTCCATGGAGGGCATGTGGTTATCTCTATTCTGCAGGTAGAAACCCCGAGGCACCGAGTCCAGTTCCCTCACACAGCTAAATTATAGAGCCAAGATTTGGACTGAAGTAGTTTTACTCCAAAGCCCGTCTTTTAAACCATGTTCCTCTACTGTCCTCTCCAACTGAAAAGTTTACAGGTGGGGCAGGCTTGTTACCTATCTATATTGAAAGACTCAAAGGATGTCACATAATTTGGCTCGTTCTTTTTTTCTTCACTTTTTGAGTCTATTTCCTTCAGGATTGGCTTCATTCTCTACCTCCAAGATATGTCTCCATCAGATCTATGCTTTTTAAAATTCTTACTGTTGATAAACCAACAGTAAGAGATGCTTTTTTCACCCCCTGATAATTCCAGCTTCAGTCTAGAATCTTGTGTTTCTGACTTTGCCTGGGTTGTATATCCATCACTGATCATTCTCATTGCTATCATCAGGGAAATTGGATATTCTGAATGCTAGGCACCTGCTCACTTCCATGCTGAGGATGGAAGAAAGTAGCAAAGATTGAATGTAAGGAGGAAATTGGTCTGAGAAAGATGAGGATGTTTTGCAAAGAAGATCAAGGCGCAATTATAAGAAGAAATGTAAATAGCCATTTTGCCGACACAAGCAATGGCCAACTTTCACATAAAAACTTACTTTGAAGTATTGACCACATTGAATGAATGGGCAGGGTTCATTTTCGGCCTTCCCACTCTGACTTCTTTCTATAAAGTGTTGCCGAACTCTAGAGTATGGCATGTGAGGCCTGAGTAGGGGTGAGGAATACAAAACCCTTTAGATAAAGACGTCTCCCTTCCGGGATGATCTGAGTTCATGTAGATCAAGGCTAACAAAAACAGAGAGACTTGTTCCTATATGTCTAACACAGGGTCAGAGCTGAATAGCTGATTGATGATTGATTGATTGATTGAGAGAACATGGGCATATATTACAGAGAGAAATTTAGGTTAGAAGTTAGGTAGAATTTTCCAGCACTGGACTTGCAGCCAAGGAAGAATGACAGATCTCTTTAGGAAAAGCTCGAGGCTTTTCAAGGGTAGAGGATAGTCCTTCTGGGAAAACTGGAGTACTGAGCTACATGAAAGCCAAAAATATTTCCATGCTGTTCTACTTTTGTGCTTCTGTATAATTTTTATTTTATTTTATTTTATTATTATTATTATTTTTTGGCTTTTGAAAGTTATACCAACGTCTACCACCTTGGCCAAAGCGTGAAAGGCTGCCAAGAGCACATGATAGGCGCCTCCTGAAGGAGAGAGCAGACCTGGTCTGCGTCAGCTTTTCCGTGAACATCTACTTCTCGCAAGTTCTGAATGGGGGAGAAGGGTGTAGAACCCCTATCCCAGGGACACCTGCTCATTACTTGTACCCTCAGGACTACCAGGGTCTGAAAACATCATCAATTATGCAGACTATTTTTTCCCCCTCATTTCCTTATGGTTTCCTGAAGAACTTATCAGAGTAAAGGCTTAGATAAGCAGTGAAGTCCTTGAACGCTCATTAACATGAAGATTAGCCCTTTGGGGTTCTCAGGTGAACGTTATTACTCAAGGCTTTCTAGGGGTGGCTGAGCCTGAAGGCAGTGCTTCTCAGACTTGAATGTGCACATTAATCATCCATAGATCTTATTAACATGCAGACTTTGAGTCAGTAGGTGAGGCCTGAGGTTCCATGGGTCTAGCAGGCTTGCAGGCATCGCCCATGCAGTTGGTCCGTGGACCACACTGAGACATGCAGGGTTTGTCTGTTTTCTCTCTGTCCCTCTAGCTTTTCCTCACACTTGCCCATATAAGCCTTCTGAGTGTACATCATATTGTCTGAGCATATACCATAGAGTTGCTTGGAAAATATATCCGGATGATTGATACTCCAAAGTCATATCTACCGGGGGTGCCAAAGAAATGTCCACAAGTGGACACTTTGGTCAATGTTGCTGAAGCAGTAGGTCGCTGTAATCAGAAGTGTCTGGATGCTGATGGGAACCACTTTGAGTACCTCTTGTAATTGTAGAAGTCAAACGTGACTTGTATTCATCTTTTTTTATCGGTATATATTGAATATTACAATTTTAATAGTTTTCCTTTCTTAAAATGTGTATACATATTTTTGGTACCCTTTGTATTGGAGAAAGTATTTTTTTTGCAAATTAACTAATGAGGCAATTGACTTATAACTGAGCTACCAAGCATCTCTCTGTCCTATTTTCTCATGACCTTACTGTCTAACCCCATAAGAGAGAAAGGAAATATACAAATAACAACTCATTATTATTTCACAAACACGCAAAGGCTTCCGTTACAGTTGCCTCGTGCCTGTTCTGGTATCCTCATTACGTTCCGCGCTCCAGGTTAATTTCTACAATGCTCTCCCTCTCTCTTTTCCTGTGTCTTGCTTCAGGACATGCACGTCATCAGCACAGATGAGAATCAGGTGCTCGCAGCCGTGCAGGAATGGAACCAAAATGACACGTATAACCTCTACATCTCAGACACACGGGGTGTCTACTTCACCCTGGCCTTGGAGAATGTCCAGAGCAGCAGAGGCCCTGAAGGCAATGTCATGATCGACCTCTATGAGGTATGTCACAAGGCATGTGTGTCCTGAGCCCCTGTAGCACCTGGACTGGCCAGTGAAGGCCCAACATTGGATGTTCCCGCCGTCATTTTCATTACAAAGAAATGATGTGCCCTTATTCCTTTTTGGGAGAGAGGACATGGGTTGCAGAACATTAGTATTGGTGAATTTGCAATCCACAGAACAGCTCTGAGATGGATTCTTTTTTCCATCACGTTCACAGGCCGTGAAGCCCAGAGGATTTGGGGAGTGTCTGGAGGAAGCAACGAAACAATGAAAGGGTTTGAACAAGAGCGACCCCAGTGTGCAATTTGCAAATAGTATTGCAGGGCCAGCAGGGTGACAGGGTATAGAGCAAAGGGGACAGTGCTTCCTTATCTCTCCCTGTCTGAGGAAAAGAATGAAGGGGACATCTATGCATGGCCTCCAGGGGCACTCCCTTGGACTTGAACTCCTTTCCAACTAGATAGCCTCCTCTGGCTAATAGCCAGCCTCTCAGAGGAACAATGGGTTAGATAAGATTAATAGGTCTTTCTTTCCTAAATCAGGGGTAGAGAGGACAGTCTTTCCTAAGAGAACTTTGGCCCTTTGTTTCTCAGAGTGACAGGGATTCAAAATAAAATCATATATGTTGAGTCAATTAGCTTTCATGACAAATGCCAATGCTGTAATTGCCATTTAAAGCACAGTTAGATAGAAAGAAAGCTATTTTGGAATGGATTTTAGCCAGTTGTCAGTCTTATCTTACGCTATGAAGGATTTATAATTGCTTATAATGACCTGTTAAAAACCATATTCAGAACTTGGGAAATATAATCATATACCTATATTTGAACTGCAAGAAATTCTAAAAATGATTTAAATATGTGCTGTCATGATGATTCTGTTGTTTGGTTGAATATAAGTTCAGAGAGTCAAGAGGTGGTAGAAGAAAAAAAAAACAATGTCACTCAAGAAATTTAAACCTATCATTTCAATTCCTTTCAATGCTATCTATTCTCCTCCTTTAGGGGTTCTTGAGGAGTTTCTTCCAGTATTTACACTTCTCTGTATGTATAAAGGCATGTTAGCAAACTTTATGCCCAATTCAGAGCCCAGGGGTTTTTCATGGAAATTATGTTAGACTAGCACAGGACATAGTGTGTGTGTATATGTATATATATTTAGAAAAATGCACTGCAAACCTTTTCTACTTCCCAAATTTCTTCTACCTCCTTTCCTCTCCATGTTCCAGATAAATATAGTATCATATATCTCAGCCTCAAACTGAACATGTATCCTGGAAAACATTTACATATTTCTGGTGATTTAGTTTCAAATTCATGTTAGATAAAATTGTGATTTAGTGTATAAATTTTGGCATCCAACCACCTGGGTTTAAATCCTAGCTATGCCACATATATGTATTCTTGAGATGCAGCCAATAACTTCCGAGCCTCAGTTTCCTTTTTGCAAATATGGAGATAAACAGGGTACCTACTTGACAGGATTTCTCTGAGGATTAAATGGGTTCATCTTGAATGACTATAAACAGTGCCTGAAATAGATAGCATAATTAATATTATGTTCCAGTGAGTTTGAGCCCCAGTCCAGTGTTCTATTTTTATAGCCTTAAAAGCTACCTATGTTCTTTAGTATAGGGTTTTTTGTTTGTTTGTTTGTTTGTTGTTGTTCTTTGTTTTTTTAGCTGAGCCATCCTGCCACCTGTTGGCAGCTCAGTGGCAGCTCAGCTCGGGCTGGGAATTGAACCAGCGACCCTGTTGCTCAGAGCCTACCCATGTTCTTTAAATGTCTAGCATATTTCCACTATTTCGGATCTCTACTTCTTTCATATTGCAATTAGCATGGCCATATGACATTCTTGAATGCCAACTAGTTGTCTTCTTATAAACAAGTGTAAATTGCCACAGTTCTTTCCTCATTTGTAAATGTCTTACAAACATTGGAACGTTAAGTGTGTTTTGTTGAAACACAATGCATTATCTTGCCTTGACCCAGCACTTAACAATGGAAATATCTTGCTCAGAGTGACTGGCTGGTATAGAGTCAAAGCAGCTGTTGCAGATTAATTACCCAGTTTGCTTCCCTGATCTTGGCTCTATCCTTGGTCTCCCAAAAACCTTTTCTGATTTTCAGGATGCATTTTTACCTTCCTGATTACCTCCTCCCCTCTTTTCAAGTCAATGTGGAATAGTATCTCTGGATATATTTTGTTTTCTGCCAAAGTAAAGACCATTTTATTTGGTCCCTTGATGATGGAAACGATGATAGATTTGGGCAGGAATGTCTTTGCAATGCCCTATTATTTGCAACTGTTTTCTTGAATGATCTTCCAAATAAACATCACTAACAGACACAGAATAAGTAAACTCAGTGACCTCTGGCCATGGAAAACCGTTTTTTTTGTTTTTGTTTTTTTGTGAATCCTTGCATTTCGCTTTTGTGCCTGTCCTGTAGTTGACTCTGTAGGAATACTGCTGGTTCTCATTATCATCACTTTGAGCAGTGGTGTGACTGCATTCTGTGAAGGTGTTCTGCATCCTGGGGCCTGGGAAGACGAGCCTTTGTTTCATTAGCCTGACAGCTCACAGCAACTTGAATTGAAATGGATGTGATCAGAGTGGCAGTGCCATATCTGCTGATTATTTAGATAGAAAGAATATTGGCTGACGCGGAACCTGGCACAAATGTCCCTTAAATCTGATTGTTCTGGCTAGCAGGAAGCTGAGAGCCATCCAGCATGAATTTCCCAGTAGAATTACAATGAATGATGAGTGCTTAGAGATAAATGAAAAGTAAGAAAATCCATAAATGAATTAATAAGGGACAGAGATGAGCAACATAGGAGGTGGGAGTGACAGGGGTAGAATACATGGAGTGCACGTCTGCTCACCTTTGAGGGCAACTGAGGAGGATGCTGTGTGTTCTTTGTGTGCCTCTGCTCGCCAATTATGCACTATTCCTGTATTTGTGTGCTCTTTGAGCTATTTTAGCAGAGGCGGACTGTATAATGTATAAGTGCATGATGAGTCAGTGTATCAAGGCTGTGTATTGCTGATGAGTCTTTGTGGGAAGTGCAGATGGCAGCACAGGTCTCATTAAAATCCACCATTTTGTCCAGACACACATTGGAACCTGTGCAACAAAAGTGGTTCTCGCTACACTAGAGCTACAAGCCTGTGAGGGGAAATGTCAGGAATAAAGCATTGGGGTACCATATAGTATGGTTTAGCTATTGAAGTACCAGAAATTTCCCTCGGTATGAGCCGTTTGTTGAACATGGACCCCATGGGAGAGAATCAAGAAACGTGAACCAGGAAAGTTGGCTACAAAACAAAAGTGCTAGAAGCTGATTTTTTTTTTAAAATGAAAGACTATAATAATACTACCTAATATTTTGGGTGTCATTACGTGCAAGCAAGCACTGTGTAAAACAACCTCCAATGATTATCTCATTCAATCCATGTGTTAACTTGTTGACATTGGCACTATAGTCACTCCCATTCCATAGATAAGTAAATGGAGGCAGAGACAGCGCAATCATTTTTGCAAGATTGCAAAGCTAGTAAATGTGCAGAATTAGGATCTGAATCCTAGAGTATAAAAACTCAACTACCAACTGTGTTGTGTCTCTGGAAAGATCACCATTTGGGCTTGTATCTGATAGTGGCTAAGTAATAGCCCTAAGATACAAGGGCATTGAAGGGCAGGATAAGTAGTATTAGACTCTATTTATCAGTAGAGGCCATCAGACAGGAAGACGAAAATTGGGGAAAAGCCAATATAAACAGAAAGAGCAGATGACAGCTATAGACCGGTTCACCTTCTGAACCAAGTCTTGAGCCCCCAGTTTTAGCTAAATGTACCTAATGTCATCACGTGGCTCCCAATTTTGCCTGGGGGGGGGGTTGTGTAAGAGGAGCCTAAAAACCACGGTCCTAAAATTCTTTCATCTTTGCAGAGCACCCTGCTCCAGTGGCACCATGGGTAACAGGAGACAGCATGCCCGATGGTGGCCAGAGCAAAAGAGATGTGACGAGTGTGTCTGGTACACGTGATTCCTAGTGTACTCGCCTGGTGTGGATGATGAGAGGGAGTCTGACAGCTTTAGACAATATCCTTCCTCCTCTGGGAAGGGAATATTAATTAATGATGATGAAGAGCACTTTGGCTTAATGGACAGTGACAGTTCACCCATCCAAGTGGAAAGGTTTGTGTTGGGAGTGAAGCCACCTGGCCAACCAATTCAGAATGCCCAGAATGTGCGCATATGTGAGTGAGCCACAGTGGGCGTCATGGAAGATACAACCAGTAACTGATGAATGTTCTGTTACACACATAGGGTGTCCTCCACGTTAAAAGTATCATCTCTTTAACAGAGAAAGCTCAACAGCTGTGATGATGGAGTATATACCTCGATTTCTTGGGCAAAAACTGCCTCTTCCAATCTAGCATAGGAGGTAGGGAAGAAAAATGTTCTCCCGTCCAGGACATATTTATTACAGGACATAGAATGCTCCGTCTGATCATTTAAGGCCATTGTCTCCTAGAAGGAGAGTGCTCCCTGATCAAGGCAACAGGGAAGGAAAGCACAGTTAGATTTTTTTTTTTTTTTGGCACCGGGTCCCCTGATTACAGAGGCACCCCTGGTACCTGCTGAGTATGTGTCTCTCCTGGCTGAGATCCCTTCTTTAGGACAGAAATATATCCTATCCCCAAAGCCCAAAGAAATCATGGTCATGAATATATTCTCCTTCTTGCCACAGTTTTTGATTCATCTTTTTCATTTTCTTCAAATTTTGACACTTTGGATTTGTTATTAAAGTCTGAGACACAGAGGGTGGGAGGAATCCTGCCCCAACCAGCATCAGAGGCAGAAATAAGCAGAAGTTCCTATTTAAGGGTCTTTTCAGCTTAGTCTCCACACAGAACATATGAAAGATTGGAACAAGAAAGGACCCTCTAGAGGTAAATATCAAAAAACGAAGGAAATAGCTGGCATTCTTCCTTTAAATCACCAAAGAAACCCAAGCCCCAGCACCTAGCATATTCTAACTCTCAAAAAAAGTGTGTTGAATATACAATTGCTTGACATCCTGGGGGCTATATCCCCAGTACTTAGAAGAATGCAAATAGTAGATGCTCAAAAATATTTATTGAACAACTATTGAGTAAATGTAGCAAATAATTAATAAAAGGCAGCTTCCTGTAAATATGATATCCATATATGACATTTCTCTTGGATGAGAGAGAAGTTTGAAGAAATAATACAGTTAAGTGTGTGGGATTTAGAGTTAGAGTTGGAGTCCAGTTCTATGGTTCTCTAGGGAATGGCCTTCCCAAGTGATAGGTCACATCTGAACTTCAGTTTTCTCCTCTGTGAGGTGAGGATAACATTGACTCCACCACTTAGAGGGCGTGGACAGATTGCACTTCATAAAGACTCAACAAATCTGGGGTACCATTACTGTTATGCCTACTAAGGCAGAATTCTTACTACCTGTTTTATTAAAGCCAAAAATAGGACTTCTTATATAAAGTGACTTTCATTCATTTTAATGAAGGAATATGGTGGATTGAATGACCATCTAAAAGTTACACTGGAGCGGGGGCCATGCTGTGAGAGGTAACAGAAGTCACAGTGAATGCAGTTGTGGTGAGGACTATAAGGAGCAGTAGAGAAGCTTTTGGGAAGATGGCTCCCCTTAAGAAGTTTATACGGTTGTTAAGAGCCAGGATGTATGTTCCATCTATATGAGGGACAAATTGGAGGACAGAGAAAAAGAGTTAGGAACAGTTCAGGATAAAAACGAGATGCTGATTTCTGGAAAAAGGCTTCCTGACCTGGGCCTTGAGGGATGGATAGGAAGAGACATGTCAGGGTGTTTATCCAGGGGACTGGGGAGTATCCTGTATGATCAAAGAGGATAAGATGAGAAAAGGAAAGGTAGCTCTCGGAGGCTGTCATCCTGGAGAACCACACAGGAAATGTACTGATGTGCTTTGTGTTGGCTTGAGGTTGGACTATAACATTTCGTGGTTGAAGTGTAATCAAAATGATACTGGGGCCTCTATGATATGAGACAATAAGAAATAATCGCTAATTACCTAGGAGACTTCTGGTTTAAAAGTCCACATATGAGAGGCAAAGGAAGAAAAGTGGCTTCTCAACACATTTGACATCTTTGCACAGAATTCAGAAACACAGTAAAGGGAGTGGGTCTTTCCCCAAAGGAAGACAAATTCACAACAGTGTGATGTGTTATTCCCATAGGAATATCTGCTTTGGAAACATGTCTACGTTCAGGCATGTCTGCCATCAGGAATTACTTTTCCCTACCCTGTCCTATCCCTCAGTCCCACCCTATTCCACCAATATGCACATACTGTGGGTACAGACGGACGTTGTCTGGCGACAAAAACACATCCCTTCATTCCCAGTGGACCCCAGACCTTACCTGCACACATAAACCCACATGTACACACAGGTGCACACGTATTCCACGTTTCGGGCCCTAATACTGCTCCCTTGATACCCAGAATCCTACAGGAAAGAGGAAGAAGTTCCAGGAAATATCTGATTAGGTCTTCACAAAAGAGCCCTTGAGGAAAGTGCTCATGCAAAGGGTTGCGCCAAGACACAGAAAGATGGACTTCTCAGGCTCAGAGCAAAAGCAACAGTGAACGGCAACCACCAAAACCTAAGAGCAGGAGTGGCCATCTTTGCAGACAAGGACAAAGAAGCAAACAATAAAAAGACATCTCAAATGGGGTTGTCTCTGATAAAGTGGCTTGGTCGTAAGAGGAAACTAAGCAGGACCTCTCCAGAACTATCCCCTCTTGTCACACATTCCCTCTGCTTTGCCAAGTTTTTATTCCTCAAGATAAACCTGAAGGCCAAGGTGCCAGAGATGAATTACACAGTATAGCTCTCTGCTCATGTGGCATTTGATAATGCCAAGCAGTTGGGGGCCCATAAAACCACAGCTTCTGCAAATCCAGTGACCCAGCTGCTCAACACGCATGACCCTGCTCTGATACTCTGGCCAAATGAGGGAGAGGGCAGGAAGGAAAATGGGCAATGAAACTACTGGAAGAGGTAATATTTTTATTCCCTCTGTATCTATTATAACCTCCTAGAGCATCGGATGGGATGGTTAAGACAGTGTCATTTCTCATATGTGGGTGTGCTGTGGACGGAAAACAGGTACGACTTTGTGAAAATTCTGATTTACGCGAAATTTGACTTTTAAAGAACTGGCAGTGTGGTCGTATTTAAATGTGTGGCAGCCTCAGGAACATATGCAAAACCAATGAGGGGTTCCCTGGTGAGTGGTCCTTATGGAGCTGGTATAGTGAATAACTAACTTTTATTTGTAATTAACATACCATTGTTGGGGGGTGTGCTCCTGGGATTTATGTCTCCCACATTTGTCGAGGAACCACAATGCATGAGAAACGGTTCAGGCTGCTGTCAGTTGCCCCAAATGAGGCATGTTTTCCTGGGAAGTTCGAAGTGTTCCTCCCGGCAACTCGCTTATTCCATTTATTTACTTAACAAACTTGTTTTCCAAAAGTGTACAAAGTTGGCCCAACTCAAAATTATCCCAGATGCCAAATCAGCAGGTACAAACTAATGAGGTTTGAATGTGTCAAAAGCAAAGGCAAAATGCGCGTCTTCTATTGACTGAAACCCAGCCTCTTTGACAAATTCAGGACTGTGGTTGTTGAAAGAACACTGGGAGTCAGACAGATGTGGGTGTCTGACAGATGCCAGCTCTCTGTTATCTCACGTCATTACATGTTTATGCCTCAGTTTCCTCATCCATAGAATTGGTAGAATAGCTGTTATGCAGGTATGTAGTGAATAGTGGGCGGTTTTATATTTAAAACCCCGGGCATAGCGCTTGGTACACGGCAACGATTAATGCTATTGTTTCACTCTTTTGCCTAAAAATTTCAGTGTATAATAAAAGGGGCCTGAGTGAAATTAAATGGGCTCACATGTGCTGGCTAGCTTATCCACTTCATCCTTGTCTGTGCTCTGGAAAGCCACTGAATCTAAGTTTCTGTTGAGAAACGTGGCCGCTGATAACTATACCTCATGCTTACGGTGAGCATCACCTGAGCTAACCTACACAGCGTGTTGAAATGCACTACTCAACACACTTCAGACCCTTTCCTCACTGCTCTCCTGCTTTGCTGGGTTGTCATCATCTCAAGCAGAGTGAAATATGTACGAATGTGTTTAATGAACTCGAAAACACGAGAAAATATAACGCACAATTAATGATTTGTTGTAGCGTGGTTTTCACAGCTTACCAGTTTTTACCTCTTGGAATGTACAGAAGAGAGAAGGCAAGCATATTTTTCAGAGCCAAATAATTAATAAGGACTGGTTCTAGAGGGAATAACAGTATTACAGGAACGGAGGAAGGATTGTGTAACAATTTAGGGAAACCATTGCTTCTTTAAGTTTAGTAGCAGTTCCCTTTTGTTCAATGTATTTTGATGGCTTAATAGAACAATCTTCTACAGAAGACAAATGTAACTGGATCATGAGTTTGAACTGACCTCTTTTAATTGCCCAAGGCTCTCGATAGCTCAGTGGTTTTCGATAATCCTTCAGAGCGTGCGCATGAAGACACACAGTTCTGGGTTGAAACCCCAGGTCAGCCACTTACTATCTCGTGTATCCAATGTGCCCTTGGGCTCTGTGACCTTGGGCAAGTTACTTTTCCTGGCCGAGCCTCAGTTTCCTCATCTGTGAAATAGAATAAGTGATACTTAACCCAGGAAGACTGTTACAAGGTTTAAATGAAATAAAGCGTTTAAGACTGTGGGTGCTAGGCCTAACCTAAAATAAAAGCAGCCTCTATTTATTGATCATTTATCAAGCAACAACACTGAAAGCACCAGAGTTTATCTCTAGGCAACTGAGAGCTACTACCAACCTACCTACCGCAGGAAAATAAGAAGCTTCTATCAAACTTGCATGATGAACCCTGCATCCCGTTAGGAGCACAGAATTATTGCTTTCAGTCCCATGCTCCAGGGAACCACTTAATCATCACTCCCTTCCCCCATCCTCACCCTCTATTTCCTCCAAGACAGCCTCACAGCTGAATTTGACAGTCTGCTTTTTTTTTTTGTAAACAAATGTATCTCTTCTCAAATTGATGTATTTTTCAGCCATGTCAATTTTTCCTAGGTAGCAGGGATAAAGGGAATGTTCTTGGCTAATAAGAAGATTGACAACCAAGTGAAGACTTTCATCACGTATAACAAAGGCAGAGACTGGCGTTTGCTTCAGGCGCCGGATACGGATTTAAGGGGGGACCCCGTGCACTGCTTACTGGTGAGTTCAGATGGGGGCAGAATGCCCCAAACAGTGAGGGCTGGAAATGGACGGCTCACGAGCAGATAAAGATGGTTCCAGGGCTTCTAGTTCAGCTGATGAACGAAAGGGGCAGGGAAGGGCATGCAGGCGGTGTACCGGAGTCAGCGCCGCCTTCTGTGAGGGACCAGAGAGATAAGAGAGAACAAGGACGTCTCTTGTCACTTCCAAGGATGTTCCTTGTGGCCCAATTTCTGATGAGGACCTCGAGTTGTAGTTTAAAGGAGAATGTAAAAGTTTCCATCTATGGTGGGGATTGCATTTTCTGGAGGAGATGTTTATTCATGTTCTCAGAGGCATCTGTGCCTCAACACGGGTAAGAACGACTGATGTGAGCTTTTATTGGTAATCTTTATAATATGTTCCCTTCATGTTACAATGTATAAAGCTGGTATAGATAAACAATGGCCCCAGGGACAAATATGGCACAGCCCTTGTTTTTCTAAATTAAGTTTTGTTGGAACCCAGCCATGCCTATTCATTTCTATACTGTCTATGGTCACTTTTGCTCCAGAGTGGCAGAATTGAGTGGTTGTGACAGGGACTGTATGATCCACGGAGCCTAAGAGATTCATGATCTGGTCCTTCAAAGGTTTGCTGGCCTCCGCTGTCAAGTATGGCTTTCTTTCAGTTACCTAACATTTGGGCAATAAGTAGATCGGCATGAATTTCTTTATATGTTTGATTATATGTTGGTGTCTGGGAGAGGGGTCAAAATGAGTCTTGCCTTCAAGTAGTTTGCAGTCTGCTTAAAGAGACTAGTAAATGAAAGATTATAGGGTCACATGTCACTCCTCTTAGTAGTTCTGGTGCCTGCCTGCCCTGTACTTGACATATGAATGAATTCTGAGTGAATGAAGGAGGGGAGGAAGAGATTAATTGCAAAACAAAGTATAATCGAATGCTAATTTCTGTGAAACAGGTCAGAAGTTGTATTTATCTTCATAAAAGGGAGAGACCAGTTGTTAAGCTAGAGGAAGGAACTCTTCGTTTTAATAAAGGCTGTGTGTGTGTATGTGTGTGTGTGTGTGTGTGTGTGTGTGTGTGTGTGTGTGTGTGTGTGTGTGTGTATACACACCAGTATTCACATTCATCATAAATTCTGGCTTGAATGTTATCACACTCAGCTTGCTTTCTCCTGTCTCATGAAATCTGAACAGTCACTTTGCAGACTCATCTCATACAGCTGTAGGCGGGTCACCCTCCTACTCGAGAAGATGCCAGCAGCCATAGCTTGACCTTATTAGTTGCAGAGGACATCACAATTGTCACTGTGCATCAGGGAAGCACTCTGAAATCCAGCCTCCCACTCAGCTTCTATCCTTATTACTGGCAACTTCCGGGGTGGGGGTGGGGGGGAAGCCAGTTGTTATATTGAGTACAGAAAGCCAGTGACAGAGTAAGTAAATGTAAGTTATGATTGAATACCTATTCTATGCGAGGCATAGTTCAGTAGCATTTTAAAAGAAATAGGGCTGCCTGCCTCGTTTAGCTATTTCGAGTTGAAGCATCCTGATATTTCGTCCAGGATGCGTGGCCTGCCCCAGTCCTTAATGTGGTCCTCCATCTCGTTGTGCTCTTTGGAGATTAAATGTCCGTGAGAGAGAATTAACCGTATCACCTAAAGAGGCTTTCCTGGGTACTCTGGCATCATAAAGGGACCATTAGAAATGCCTCTTACACAAAGCACTTAGTGATGTGTTCCCTGCTCTACTGCCAGCCCGGTGTTAGGAAGTCTTATGGCTGTACCTCCACATAAATTCTAGGGCCGTGCTAATAGAAGCCACCATCATTTCTCACCTTCCCTACGGTGACAGGCTCCCGACTGCTCCTCCCGTCTCTATCTGGCAAGCTCTGCTCCACACAACAGCTAATGGGACTTGCATTGGTTTGTTTTTAATCCAAATGTATTGAGATAAAATATACATACAGAAGAAAGACTTATTTTAAGAGTATAATTTGGTGGATCGTGACAAATGTGTATACCCATGTAACCATGACCACACTCAAGATAGAACGTTTTCATCACCGCCCTCTCCCCCAAATTCCTGTGTGCCCCTTTGCAATCAGGTTCCCCACCTCTAACCCTAGACAACCACTAATCTGCTTTCCTTTAGTATAGTTTCAATTTCTCTTTTCTAAAATTTTATGTAAATAAGATCAACTGAAGCTTTAAAAAAATCAGGTCAGGACTCTCCTTAAACCTGCTAATGACTTTCTAATTCAGGTAGAATGAAAGCCACACACTGTAGCGTAGCCTTCAATGCCCCATGTGGACTGGACGCTGCCTACCTCTTCTGCCTGGCCTGCAGTCTCTCTCCCCTTCCTCGCTTACACATAAGCCATGCTTGGGGAGGATGGTGCCTCTTCCCATTATCATTAACTCACCATGCTCAGTTATGTCTTAGCTTCTTCGCATTTGCCATTACTTTTCTTAAAATGCCCTTCTCCTAGTCTGGCTTTTTCTTCAAATCCCGATTCTTGGTGGATTACCTTAATCTCAGAGAACTTTCTTGAACTTTCTCTAAAGTTGAATTTGTCCCAAATCCTCTGTATTTGTGACCCTTCTCACTCTTTGAAACCGGCACATGAGTGTATCCATCTTCCCCTGCTAAAACGTTACCTTCGTGAGCAGAGGAACCGTGGCTGTTTTTGGCCACTGCAAAGAATCCTCTCAAGAACCATGCCTCCTGCAGCGTAGGTGCTCGACACACGTGTTGTCATGGGCGTTGTGTTTTTGTTTGAAGCAGATTCTCCATTGACAAGGGTTGTTTGAGCTTTCTATTTAGACTTTGGTGGAAGTCTTCCCTTACCACTGACAATCACACTGAAGGATTTAATGTAATATACACCTTCTGAAGCTCACGGGCTCCTGTTGACCCCAAAGTTAACAAAATCTGTAGGCTCATTAAGATTGAGGAAAGATGAATTAATGGGCTATGGATGTACAGTACCCAGTAGACTTCTAGCCTATCTCCCTCATTAACCCTGTTGTCTAATGTAGCTTCAATCAGAGTTTTAGAAAATAGGCAGCAGAGTGAGGAGGGGAGAATGACAAAGGGGGGCGGGGGGAGAAGAGACCAAAATCGCTTTATAAAAATCTGCCTAAGGCACAAAATAGGAAAGAAATACCTTGAGCTCCAGGAGATCCAGACTCTTAAAAACCACTGTTCGTCTTGAGAGCTGGTGGCAGAGAGGAGATAAAAAGTGATTTTGGATTGTGAGTGCTTGGAAGGTGACAGCGTCACTGAAAGCACAGCCTAGTGATGAGAAAAGAGATTTTCCAGCAGGGCCGTTACAAATGTGGAACAGGTTCAGAGTTACAGCCCCAAAAGGAATGTTCCTGGTAAAATGTATTCTATAGAAATAAGACATCCAGGGTAATTTGGGGCTATATTTTTAGGACGTTTAGACTGATTGCCTGGAGGGCTCAGCTGGGATTTCTTTCCTCTGAAGACAGCATTGTACAATTAGATGGGGTATTACAGGTCACGGTCCACCTGCTTTCAAAGCCTCAGGATTGGGCTCCTGAGAGGCAAGATGTGAGCTGCGCCTGTGACAAATCCGTGGGCCCCTAGGGAAAGCACAGCGTGTCATGGAGAGAGGCTGTGCCTCTTTTATGGATTCAGTTGGCAGGTTTCTAGGCAGTCGGCTACCCCAGGAGAGGCTTGACTCTGCTTTCCACTCCTGTGCTCACTTGACTCTGCGTGTTGTGCTGGATTAGAGTGAGGCTGAATGCCTCACACCCAGCCAGTTGTCCAGGGGCCTTCCCTCTGCTGTGCTATCAACTCTTTACTGAAGATCTGATGGATTCCTAGTTCCAGGTCAGGGTCCAAAACAATGTGTGTATGGAGGTGGATTTGGGGACTGTTATTTGGGAATTTACCCCTGCCCTATTATTTATGAAAGCTCTGATTTGGCTTTTCAGGACAATACTCAGATTAGAAGCCCTATGGATAATGGGACCATGAAAATTAGATCTAAGTGCTGTTAATATGAAGGTTGGGGAAGAAAAAGAAAGTGGAATGAGAAGCTGGCTGATGCTCCAATATTTAACAGTTTTTTGAGTTGATTTATTTTGTGGTGGGGAAATGCTTTGCATCATTTAGTAATTCTCCATTGGCCATGCACGGTGCTAGGAAGATGGTGGCTTGTTAACCGATCAGTTAAATCCAACAGACATGTATTGAATGTGTGCAATGGCCCAAGGATTTCATTGGTTAAAATCAGAAATAAAGAAGGCAAAATAAAGGTAATCAGGACCTAGAAGTCCACCGTAGACTTCAGAAGTTTGTAAACTTCCTGAAATTGAGTACAAAATTCTGTGTGCACTTGGCCTTTGGGCACTTTTTCTTGGAAAAGAATCCTTAATTTGCATCAGATTCTCAAGCTCTGTACTTGATCCCGAAGATTAAAGACTAAGGATCCAGTTGCTGCTAGAATTGACCGGTTGATGGCATTCCGTGCCCTGTGACTAGGTAAGCACATAGCAGAGGACACAAAGGGCCGCTTCCAAACATGGATGGCCCCTCCGCTCCCTGTAAGTCAGCTGCTAGGCCTTGGTGGTTTAGTGTATCATTCTATATTGTCTTAATGTGCAAAGATAAGGAAACTAGAGAAGGGCCTTTAGGATAAGCCTTGTTTTGACTCTATTGAATTGGAGATAACTCTGCAAAGATACCCAGGTCCTCTGTACCTGCTTGCTAATGGCCAAAAAAAGGACGCAGGAAGGAAGGAAGGGAGAGGTGATCAAAGCTCCCCCTGCCTGGGCAAAAAGTGCTTATGAATTAGAGAGCCTTGGGCTCTGTCCTTTAGGAGTTGGCTGTGGCTTGATAGCCATTATAATAAACCTGTCTATTGAATGTTGGTGACTGAACTTTGAGAAATGTCCAAAACTGGTCAGGTACAAATGTTTAAAATAGTAAAGATGATCACTTAACATTGCTTTTCCTCAACCACTGTGGTAGACTATGTAACTTCCTTGAAGAAAATGGAAGAAAGTAAAAATAAAGCCACAGAATGTTCTCCTTGTACCAGTTGGGGGCAATCCAGCACTATAAATGTGAGAGTGGAGAAAAAAGTACACCAGAAAGATCATTGCTAATGTTGCTGCTGCTGCTGCTGCATGAACTGGTGTCTTTTTTCCTCCAGTTAATTTATCTTGGGCTTCCCAAAGCCATCACAACCAGCAGTGCTGAGATGGTCAATTGAAAATGCCCTCTTTCCTTTGTAATGCCAAGTGCCCCCTATCAAGTAAGCCTTGGGTCAGGTGGCAACTGAACTTCACAGCCTCCCACACTGTTGAATGATGACGTTTGTGGCAAGTGGCCACTGAAAAATTGCAAACTGGGTGCTCCCTTGTCCAGGGATGCCATGCCCTGCTGAGTGGCACAAAGGCCTTCCATTTAACCCAGATGTCCACACATAACTCCCAAAGAGTGTTGCAGTTCCTGGCATGCCGCAGAGATACTCATATTACTCTGACTGTGTGGTTTACAAATAAGCCCATGTATACCTCTGGCATTGTTCTGGGTAAAATAGTAATGTCTTCCATGTCCTAACATAAACGCATTGCTTGATAGTTCAAGCTTTTATCAACTCTATTTTTTTTATTCGATGCTAGGTTCTACAGAAGACACAAAGTAACCCTTGATGTTTTCTCTCTATTTCCAGAGTGTATCTCTTAGGGGGATAAAACTGTGCGTACTTTGAGTAGATGATACAGGGTTGTGCGTGGTTAAAGAAACTGCTGTATGTCAGAGCAGGGGAGATCCTGAATAGGCTGGGGTTGTCAGGAAAACTTTCATGGAAAAATGGTTTGCTACCTCTGCTTTATCCTGTCTTGGCATCTGAGTGTTATGCATTGTCATCCTGGGACCTCTGAGACATATAACAATACACATTTTATTCTTCCTCTTGGACACCAGGAAGCCAAGTGTTTCGGTCACATTGCGTGCTCCTAATGAACATTGTAAAGTAAAATTCCCTTTTTTTGAAAGCTTTGCACAATATTTGCATGTAAAACCAATAATTGATTACTCATTATTCCTTGAGAGTTGACTATCGGTGTTGGCAGTGAGGAAAAAGACCTATTGTGATTTACTGTTTTATGTCACCAGCATTTTGGCTGCTTTTTATTCCCGAGTTTCATTTTTCGTTTGTCATTTGCTCTCACCTATATAAATGTAATCATTGTATCGCTCGCTAGCTCACTGAGTATCTGCTAGCTGAGACTTACAGAGCAGAGTGAAAGTAATAACGGAGATACATTGGTGATTCCAAAAACTCAAGTTGATAAGATTAGAAAATAACCTTCCTGAGCAATGAAAAGGAATGTGGGTTTAGACACAAATTTGTAGTTTTTGACAACTCAGTACAAGAGCTATTTTAACCGAAAGCCCTATAAGATTGATTATCCTGTTTTTGTGAACTGTTGATATATTAATCAGAGAATTTGATCAAGATTTTCACACACAAATAAACAAGTCCCTTAAATCTTCATTTAAATGGCTATCACTAGCACATTTTGCCTACAAGTATGACTTTTATATTGAATAATACTGATTCTGATAATACCCTGATACAGATACTATGATGATTGTCTGTCGGATGTTATGTATGACAGTTTCACAGATCACACAGCTTCTTCTGTATGACAGAAACCAAGGTCTCAGATGGAGAGGGGCTAAGAGGTGCCAGCTGATATCTTCAAAGCCCTCCCAGCCTCACCAGACCTTCTCTTTGACTACATATCCCATTTATCTTCCGTCGTACTGACTACATACTGTATTAAAGCTCAACTCTTCTGCTGCCTTTCTTTGTAATTGCTGTTACTCAGGCCTGAAAGGTCTCATCTACAGTTCGTAACCTCCCCATCTTTGCCACAGGCACCATTTTCTCCTTGAAGCCTCCCCTGATCCAAATTTGGATATCATCTCTTCATCCTCTAGAATCTCATATTTTGTCTGTACCAATCTATGGCTCTTAAAATATACTCTCTTTATGCTCGTCAATAGAAAGATCTTAAATTATACACTCTGTAATAACAGTCAGGATGAAATTTCAGTGAGTGTAACTCTTTCACAAGCTACACCTAGTCTTTCACAGATAAAATGCTAAAATGTTTGTCGAATGCCCAAATGGCAGTGAAGGCAGTTGATTAGACTTACAAAGGTGCTCTCTCCTTCACTAACTTGGCAGCTATCTTATACTTAGTGGATACCAGATATCTGTGGAATGAAAGATGGATGAATGGATGGGTGCATGGATTGATGCATAGATAGGATGGTTAGATGATTGGATGGATGCTCTGAACATGGGCTTATATGACCATTTAGATTGGGTGCTTTCATGACATTCATTTCTCTTCTTCTCAGCCTTACTGCTCACTCCACCTTCACCTTAAGGTCTCTGAGAATCCCTACACATCAGGGATCATTGCCAGCCGAGACACAGCTCCCAGCATTATAGTGGCTTCAGGTAAGAAGCTTCCTGCTTTGCTTGTTTTTGTAAATTGCATTTATTTTAAGAATCTAGATGTTTGTGCTTGGAACTTAATGAGCAAGCTAAGGATATTTTTAAATGGCACCTGAGCCACTGACCCTGAAGCAAGTATGCTGCAAAACCCTGCTGAGATATGTTTGCAGTCTAGCTCTATCTTGGGCAACGCAGATTGCCCACATTGCTCATCGTCAGCTTGTGCAGATGTTCCTTCCACTAACAGTGGTGTGCTCTTTCTAGGTAACATAGGTTCTGAATTGTCGGACAGCGACATCAGCATGTTTGTCTCCTCAGATGCAGGGAACACTTGGAGGCAGGTAAGAGAGTATCCTGGGTCAAGTTGTTGAAGTGTAAATGTTATGAAAATTACTCAGCTTGATTCAAGTCTGGGAACTCACGCTATTCCACATAATAACTTATTCAACTACACATGAATCCTAAAGCTTGCCAACATGGTTTTCTTTTTTTGTTTTATGAAAGTCTTAAAAGAAGTCTTTGAGGTTAGCAAATACTTTTGCAATTTTATTTTTTATGTTTTTGCTGTTCAATAAAAATGACCCATATTCAGAGCCTCTATGGAAGAAACTTTATATGTGACGACGAAACCAAATTAGATCTGACTGAATTTTCCCCATAAAAGAAAACCAGAATCCTAAAGAGTTTATCACATAGAGAACATGGCACCTGGAGGATAGATTATATATCTAATGCTAAGTTACCTCCATAAATCCTCCTTGCCTTGAAGTCAGAATAGAGAGTAATGAAGTGATATAGAAATAGCCATTACCCAGGTGGTATTCTGAGATTTTAAATCTCATGTGCAAAAGACAGAGTAATAACCATCAGGATGCATATGTTAGGGAAAGTAGAAATGGAATCACTTCAAACCAGTGTGTTTAGCTTAAATGCTTCCCGAAAATTATATACCCATAGCTTATGAAACAGGCATTTAACGAGGTTTAGCAATCATAACAAGATATATGCCTAATGCATGGTTGTTACCCTTCAATAAATATGTTTTAATAACCCACTGATGTTTAATTATAATACAATAACTAGCACCCTAAATTGAAATCTAATGCACAGGTAATCACATAGCAACAAGAACACCCTGCTTTAAATTTTAGGCAGAGATCTCCATGTTACAGTCCAGTTGCTATTTCCTAGCTCCCGATCCTGCCTAGATCCTCAGTGGGATTCACACGTTTTGAGAACAGCAGGGCAAGAAAGAAATTTACCTAGAAAACCCAGGGCTATTGATCTTGGAAGTATGTAGGAACATGGGCTATTAAGCTTCCTCTGGAGAAGAGAGAGCCAGGACCTATTTTTTGTTTTTTGTTTTTTCTCCCTTCCAACACTCCAAACAAAGTAAAGAAGTTTCTACTTCCTAATCCTGGGATGTATCTTAGATATAAGAAGTAAATAAAAAGGAAAGAAGATTATGTCTATAGTGTAACCATAGACAAGGCTACACTAATAGTGTGACTGTGAGAAAACAGTATAACTCATACATAAGGACTTAGAACGTTTTTCAGTCTATCTCCATTGTACTTCAAATTTGCTTCTCCACATTTGGAGAATGATCCAATGACACATGTAATCAAAGACGATGATTCCATTTTGATCAGAACAAACTTATGACTTGGGGAAAGAATGTATTCATTGAAAAAAATACCTTTTTCCTTGGTAATACTTTAAAACTTTGAAATACTTATACCTGGAAGGGTACTGTAACACTGCAAGCCCTAGCTCCATCAATCACGATATACTTGGTCTTTGGCAAGTCACCACATCTCTCTAAAACTTAGTTGTCTTATCTGTAGAAATGAGAATGTTAGAATGAAGTATCTCTCAGGTTTCTTCCATCGAAAAATGTCATCAGTATGACAGTTACCCAATACTCTGACATCATCATCAAGAGAATCAATAGAACTTACCACAAAAAGCTAAGAATATAAACACGAATGCATCACTATTAATTCTTTACATTTCTCTCATGGTGTACCTAAAATCATTTTGTGTAACTCCAGCGGTACTTGTAGCCCATCTTGGGAAGCGCTTCCTCTAACTGTGTCTTGGGAAACCTAGTTCTCTCATAGGACGGATTTTTCTCCTCATATGAAGACTACTTCTCTGAACTCTGGGCATGTGTGGACGTGGATGTGTGTCCATGGGGGTGTGTTTTCCTCTTCCAGATCTTTGAAGAAGAGCACAGTGTTCTGTATCTGGATCAAGGTGGAGTCCTGGTTGCTATGAAGCATACGTCTCTCCCGATTCGACATCTCTGGTAAAGGCACTTGTTGCCCATGAGGCATGAATGTGATAGTTCCCCACTGCTAAGACTGGAGTAGGGCTGGCAGATCATGACCGTGTTTGTAGCAAAACATCAAGGTCTACTAGAGCATCATTTATACTTTCGCTCTATTAAAAAGAGACGGCTGCTTACAGTTTCACAAAAGGAGGATGAAGGGAGAAAGGGAGGGAGGGACGGGGAGAAGAAGAGGGGGAGAGAGAGAGAGAGAGAGAGAGAGAGAGAGAGAGAGAGAGAGAGAAAATTCTGCCCCTGAAAGAGGAATTTCATTATGGTTTTTAAGTGTGACAATACCGTCCCCAGTACTGCATTCTTTCAGCACAGTCATGGGTAGAATGGTGTGTCAGGTATAATCTCTGAGTGGCTCAATTTCTTACAGTCACTTTTTCCAAATTACATCTCCAGGAGTATGACATTTGCGTTCCTTATGTATTCTGCACAGAGATCATGGCCACTCTGCTCCTATCTCGTTTCTTCTGATCATACTTCCTTAGTTTTCTGTTTGGGGGTGCATTCTCCCTGTAGGTTTCCACAGATGGACCTGCGATGCTTCACTTCCAGAGGGGATTCCAGTAGACCCCTTCATGTGTGTTTTTGAAAGTACCTCTCTCCACATGCAAGCTTGTTCAAAGTCAAAAGCCTGATTTCCTCTCACTCTTAGTTACTTTGGCGACCAAAGGGAAAGCTGCAGAAATAAGAGAATCAGGCTTAGCCTGGGGGGAAGACATCCACAGAGAAAGGCAGAGCAAAGAAAACATCCTGTGTGACCGTCAGAGCTGCCCACTTCTCTCCTCTTACTCTCAGTGCCTGTCATTCTGTACCCGTTCCCTTAGTGAGTCAACCAGGATTTATAACAACATGAGAGGGATGTGCTCACCGTCTGATCACTTAAGGGTGCCTGGTTCAAGTCCACCTAAGTAGGTCTCCTAAAGCCATGGCTCTTCAGAATCCCCTGCAAGGCTTGCTGCTGGAATGCAGTGAGGTTTGGGAGAGAGTCACATTGAGACCTAAGACTGAATAAAATACCCAAATTTAAAACAAATTCTATCAAAGACTTATTATTATTCCAGTTTCATGCAGCTCTCCTCTTATTGATGTTCTAACACATCTGGGTCCCAAATAGCTTGGCTAACTGTTTTTGTACTTTCTGATGTAATTAAGAACACTTATTCATATAAAAGGCTTACTTTGACAATGCCTTAGGTGGTTTTAAAACGTATTCTCTTCTGGTTGATAGGATCTTTCCTTTGAAAGGACTTTTTTTTCTTTTGAGATCTGATGGCTGTTACTTTTTTTTTTCTTTCCTTCCTGTTATTAGGTTGAGTTTTGATGAAGGGAGATCTTGGAGCAAATATAGCTTCACATCTATTCCACTTTTCGTGGATGGGGTTCTGGGTGAGCCTGGGGAAGAAACTCTCATCATGACGTAAGTGGAAAACAACAATGTCTTCTAGTCTTAATACTAATTTAGAAAGCCAGCTTTTCACGAAGCCTGTGCACTCTGCTACTGTTAGGTTTGACATTGCCAGCAAAGTCAGTATATCAGGATTCCCCAGCAAAGAGGAAAGAAAAATATCGGCGGCCATTTTCTTGGCTTTTTATTAGCTGTCAGGAGACTCACACTGAGGGCTGGTGGCAAAAGGGTACAGCTTATCTCTCCCCCCAGCTTAATCGAAGATGTAATTTTCATAGAAAATAAAGCTATCCATGTAATACTGTAATAATAAACAAACTCGATGTAGAGAAAACTCAGGCATGTAAGAAAGATTTCACTTTAAGGCGAACGCAGAGCTCAAGCAAAACCCCACACAGGCTTTTATTTTTTCCTGGCGCTTTACCTAACCCAATTGTGAGGCGTATTAGGAAAACCCTGAGAACAATCTGTTCTTGTGAAATTGCATTTGCACTCATTCTTGTCTGGAAAGAGATGATCATTAATTTGTGAAAGGCTTGATTAATGACTTGCCTGCCTACGAGGTTCAAAACATGAGCTTTGAATGTGAAATATGAGACTGTGCTTTTCCCTTTCCCAGCAAATTGGACACGGAAAACAGAGAGACGATTTTAAAGTACTTGATCCTGTCATCAATGAAAATTGAAAAATCAAAGTGAATAGTTGATACATTTTCTAATTTTTTTTCTCCCCTCCTCCTTTTCATAGTGATAGAAAAGATCAACAAAAATTTAATAGGCCAAATAGCTACACTTTGGGCCATGGTAAACATAGCTAGATTAGCAATTTATTCCATAGTTTGTCTTTATTTGGTTGTTATAGTTGCAAAACATAGATTCAAAAAGCTGACTGAAAAGGCTGCTTTGTGGCTTTTACCCACATCTATGATTGGTGATTCAAACACTTCATTAAATATCTCAATCTCTCTCCGTAAGGAGAATAGAATGCACAGTGTAGGAAATAGTTATAACCACTTGACACTGCTGCCCACTTTCCCTAGAGACTGGTGGGAAGATAAAACAGCATGGGAGCCATGGGAACCGCGCACATTATTAGCAAGAGAACCTAGAAGTATGTAATCTTGGACCATGCAGAATGAAGCATTTGTGATTGTTTTCTCAATTATCGATTGGTTGATTGCTTTTTTGTTAACTGTTCTGTGGTATAATATATAGAAGTGGGCTTTTAAGTCAAACACCCTGGGTTCTGACTCTACTGATTCTTGACTGATCAGACATTGGTTTTTGCTTGTTCACAAAACTCTTTGAGCCTCAAGTTACCCATCTGTAAAGTGGAGTCAATAATAGTAACCCCCTTTCCAAATGTGTTTTGATGACTAATTATGATGAATGTAAGGTGCTTGGCATCATGCTTCACTCACAGTCAATGCTCAACAGATGCTAGCTGCGGTTGTAACTGTCGGCATTGTTATCGTGGCAGTTATTTTTGTCCTTATGAATCTATAGAGTGTTTGGACACTTCAGCCACCGCTCTGAGTGGCAGCTGGTCAAAGTGGACTACAAATCCATCTTCGATAGACGGTGTGCCGAGGAGGACTACAGGCCATGGCAGCTGCACAGCCAGGTAGGAGAAGAGAGCGGAGGTTGAGAGCTGGGAGAGAGGCATGGGGCGTGTTGGGGAACAGCTAGTCATTCGACTGTAGGAATTGGGGTTCTCTAAGCTAAAATGCTCATCTGGTGCTTTCTTACGTGGTCTGTGTTCCACAGCAGTGAACAAACTCAACATTTTATAGCTCGTTGTGAAGTCATTTCTGTTTTTATTGTACTAGGATATAATGAGATAAAATTCAAATGTGCTTGGCTTAGACTTACAACTCAAAATGAAATACCAACTCAGCACGGAGATCTAAACATAATTTATCTGAGCATGTCATATGGATGTGGGGTGGAGGCAGGGGTGAGGCAAGGATCTTCAATTTCATCTAGCAATGCAAACAGAGACATAAAATAACAAAATTATGCGCTGTGAGCAGTGCCAGCAATATCCTCCCTCCCCATGGCCGTGACTCCCTGGGATTAGGTAGTGCCGCTCGCCTCCTTCTAAGATACCCATGGTACAAGGATGCAGAATTACTAATAGGAAATTTCCCTTCATCCTGGCCCCTCAGCTATTCAGCTCATATAAAAATTGTTGGTGGAAAGCATCTCTCCTTTGATTTTCCAAGCCGGGAGTCATTCTGCAGGCCTCTCAAAGGATGGGCAGAGGCTTTTGCTGCAGAGCCAAAACCGTGTTTAGGTAGTGACACATCGCATGCCCCAAACCCAGACTAAGTCATATATTTAAATGAAGATGGGTCATGGAGTTAGTGAAAGTGAGTGCTCAAGGAAGACAGGTTGTGGTATTAGTAACTTACACAGAATTGTTCTGGTCCTGTAGACATACAAAGAGAGCCGTGTTTGACAGCGAGGGCTGCATCAGCTAGAAGCACCCATTCTATTCAGTGACTCAACGATGAAATTATCGCTCATTCACATTGCTGATATCTTCCCCTTCGGGATGCATAAGCATTGCGATATTCAAAGCTTTTATTTATTTTGTGGAGAAACACTGAATTTAGTCCCCTCAATTGTCTGATAGACGGGCATAAAATGAGTGCTGTAAAATCATGTGGGCAGACGCAGAATAAATTGCGGCAAATGGATCTGTATTTCTTAGCAATACTCCTCTTTCATATGCTCATACGTGTATAAATCTTTTTTACAGAAGAATTGAACTTAATTATTACAGATGTGTCGGCAATCCCCTCACGATAGCCAGCCCTAGTTACCTGTGTGTTTCTCATGACACTGCACTGAACACGTTGCCAAGGAAAGGTTTACTGAATCCATGAGGAGTTAAGGACATTTCTGAACACACCCTCGGTGCTTCTCGAGATGGCCTTTATAAATCACATTCTATACAAGGGCTTTAGACATCGAAAAGGAAATGCTGTCAGCACAGAGCAGACTCCTCAAGTCCAGATTTCACAAAGGCCTGAGAACATCTCCCCGGACGTCCCTGATGTGGAGCAGGGAAGGTCCAGGGGATGTGCTCATGTGCGTGACATCCTTGTGTCCTTACAGGGGGAAGCATGCATCATGGGAGCAAAACGGATTTATAAGAAGCGAAAATCAGAGCGGAAATGTATGCAAGGAAAATACGCAGGAGCTATGGAATCTGAACCCTGTGTCTGCACAGAGGCCGATTTTGACTGGTGAGCTTGTTTTGGTGTTCCGTGGAGTCCTAGATCAGTGTATCCAATCCACAGTGGCCTCATGGAAGCTTTGGTCTGAAATGATAGTAACATCCATAGAGCTAAGTGACAAGCCTCATATTTTTATGAAATTACCTTTGGAGACATCATGGCGTACTAGCTATATACAGGTGTGCATGGAAAAAACAGGCATTTCTTTAGACTTAAAGAGGATTCAGAAGGTGGCTGGTAATGATCTTCATCTACTTGATAGATCTCGGGACAGATAAAGACGGGCGACCAGATCCACCCAGTTGCTTCAGACGGCAACACTGAAAACAATAAGTGGACTTTTCAGAGGACAAATATGTCTGTGGTCAAGATAAAAACTTTCTAGGATGTAGACAAAGCAAGACAAGAGCGAGTGCCGGAGTGCCCTGGGCTCAGCCAGAGGGCCGCAGAGCTTGCACATTGCAGCTCACAGGGAATTTTGCAGATGGGGGCCTCCCCCACTGTGACGCCTGTGACAGTGCAACATTATCACAGTGACAAAATTACTGTATCCCTGTTCTCCTACCTTTTAGGATGGACACCCTGAAATACATTCACAGGGAAAATGTCCATGGAATTTTTAAGTCATTCATCGCATCCCGCTTCTGAAGCTGGACTGCTTCCCCTGCATTCACTCTATCCAAGGCGGGTGTGTGTGTAAAGGAAGTTCATGTTTTTATCTTAGCAGTTTAACTTTGACCTTACCCAACAGTCATTCCTGTGCAGAGAGCACATTTATTTTCTCCTAGAAAAACAAAAAAAGCAGTGAGGTGCAATGGTCCACTTCCCTGATGTCTCCTAGAAAAATGTCTTCCTTTGGGAATCTTTTCTATGAGGTTCCAAAACAGGCTAGTCTTTTATTGTTGTTGCTGCCATTTGTTGGCTTTCAATTTTAAGCGATTCTAGAGTGAACAGAACACGGGGTAAGGAAAGCAGTTAGGTTTCTCCCCTTCCCCATCTCTCACACTGTTCAGTCTCAGCCCAATTCCTGCATTTCTTTGTGATTGGAATCTGCCACTCTTACCACTAACTAAAATGTATTCTGAGAAGTAGGAAATGAATCATGAACGAGGCCATTGTAAGGTTTTCTGTCCAAAGAGGACTTTTGTAACTGCATGGTTTCTGAAAATGTTTTGGAAGGCTCACCAGGACCGTTCTGAGCTTCTATCAGTAGCTAGAGCTTCAGTGATTCATCTTGACAGTAGCATAATGAAAGGCGGTTGTCACCGAACGTTCCCTCTTGCCGTGGCTCTCCCCTGGACAGTGCCCCCGGTGATCTTGCCTGCCGTTCTCCAGTATTTGTAAAGCAATTCCCTGAAATGAAAACCGGGTGTCTTGTAGGCTGCAATCCTGAAGTCTTCCTTCCCAGGCTGCATTGAACCAGCACCAAATCCAGCTGGTATGTGCAGAATGTTAAGTGCCAGCTGCCTGGTGGCAGGCCCCGTAGCTGAGCCTCTTGTCTCCCTCCCCGACCCTTGTGTGCCAGCATCTCACCTCCCTTACACGGATGGGCCAGTTCACCCTAATGCTTGCTGATTGCTGCCTACGATTTGTCTGGGCATGCGGAGGTGAAGTTTGTTGTTGTCCTGTCCTCTGTGCCCCTGCTCATCCCCCAGAAGCCAAGAATATCAAGCCACTCAGAGGTCCCTGGAGGCAAGAATGAGAGGAGGCTGGGAGAAAAGGCTTTGACAATTTTCAAACTAGAGAGATTTAAAGCAGTTAGTCCCAACTGGCAGCGCTAACCAACTAGAACAAAACTTTTCCTTGGGGGGATGTTTACGACACTCCTGAAGGACATGCCTTTTTCTGCTGTGACTTTGAAGCATATGGCTGTACACAGACAGACGTGGCTTGGCTCTACCTGGCAGACACAGATGCCTTGGAAGAGCACCCCAAAGACATCACTAACGAGGACCGTGCCACACGGGGCTGTGTTAAACCCTTCAGTGGAATTTTGCACTGAGGGCTGAGCATCCACTGCTCCCTGTTCACTAAAGACAGCTTTCTATGGCCCAACCACAGCCAGTGCTGTGCGTCCTCCTAATGAGAACACAATCTATTATCTCAGCTTAAAGGTGTTTCCTTGGAATGATTGGGCATTGGGCCTTCATGTCTACACAGGCATCTTCCCTGCCTCCAAGTCAGCATTTCTGAAAATGGGTTCTGTAGGATATTTTCATGGGTAATTGATAGATATTCTATGATGTGGGTGGTGGAAAGTTCCATTTTTGGAAAAGCATTGATTCAGGGAATACCTATTTTTTTTTTTTTACTAATTGACGAAAAATAAAAGTTGGGTGTGGACTAACACGAATTTGTTCTCAGAAATTTTGTCACCTCCTGAAAGTTTTCTTTTGGCTCTTTCCCTAATAGTGACTATGGTTACGAGCGACACAGCAATGGTCAGTGCCTGCCAGCATTTTGGTTCAATCCATCTTCTCTGTCGAAGGATTGCAGCTTGGGACAGAGTTATCTCAACAGTACTGGGTGAGTGTCGAAAGCAGTGACCTTGAGAGGTCAACTTTTGCTGCTTTTTAGCATGTGTTAAGCTTACAGAATTACTGCTGATCAAAGACCAGGTCTACTTCATTACAGCACAATTTATTTGCTTTTGTTCATTTTAATCATGAAACGCCGATTTGCATTAATAGCGCAAATTTCATCTGAGAATAAAACCCCAGTTGGAAATAAAGAAACAAAACAGGTTCCTTGGATGCGGATGACAAATAATGACATATAAATTTCTTGATTTGTGATACTTTATTTCAGAACTATTTAGTCTCACTGCATCCCTATAAGGAAAGCCAGATATAATAAATATTTCACATGTGCATTTTCTATTTTATAGATGTGGAGCCTAAAGTCAGAAAACAAACTCATTGACTTTTCAGGAGTATACCAGTGTTAGTAGGAATGTGTTTTAGTTTCTCTATGTCCAGCCTTGACACTTCTAAGGCATGCATTCTGACCTTATAAATCTGGAATCAGAATCTAAAATTTTGAGTCTAGTGTTCTGTGTTGTGGGGCTTATCCAATATTATTTTTAAAAGGCCATAAAGTCAAAACATCCCATGATTTTTACACAAGTGAAACTGATATTTATAGACTTAAAATTAGTGCATGGAACTTATTGGGATTCTAATTCAATTTGTCAAAAGACATTTGGGGAACTTGAATATGTACTGGTGATTAGGTGATGTATTATTCAGGGTTTCCCAGATATATGTTTTTGTATCAGATGGATGAATAGATAGATAGATAGATAGATAGATAGATAGATAGATAGATAGATAGATAGATACAGAGATACAGAGATACAGAGATAGATATTATGAGGAATTCGATCATGTCATTATGGAGGTGGACAAGTTCACATCCCAAGATCTGTAGGGTGAGTTGGCAAGCTGGAGACCCAGGAGAACTGATGCTTTGTCTCCAATCCTAGTCGGAAGGCATGAGAACCAGGAAAGCTGACGGTTTAGTTCCTATGTGAGGAACAGCAGGCTCAAAACCCAGGAAGAGCTGATGTTCCTATCTGAGTGAAGGCAAGAAAAAGCCAATGTCCAGGTGCAGGCAGTCAGATGGGAAGAATTCTCTTGCTCAGGGGAGCCTTTATGTTCTATTCAGACTCTCAATGGATTGGAAGAGGCCCACCCACATTGGGGAGGGCAGTCTGCTTTACTCAGTCTACTGATTTAAATGTTAATCTCATCCAGAAACACCCAGAATAATGTTTGACCGAACATCTGGACACCCCATGGCCTATCCACATTGACATATAAAATTAACCATCACAGATAAAATTAGGTGACACGTAAATCTAAGTCTAAATAGTTATATTTATGGTATTACATTAATAAATTCCATTATGGTTATATATTTAGATGTGATAATGGTATCTTGGTTAGGCTAAAAGAAAAAAAAAAGAGAAACCTTATCTTGTAGAGATACATGATGTGTGAGATTTGCTTTAAAATGGTAAAAAAGAGAAAGGTATTAATAATTGTTGAAGATGTTAATGGAGGCATGGGGACTTATTATACTATTTTCTCTCATGTGTGCATGTTTTAAAATTTGATATTAAAAAGTTAAAAAGAGGGGCCGGCCGAGTGGCTCAGTTGGTTAAGAGTTCGCTCAAGAGTTTGAGCTCTGAGCAACAGCGGTTCGAGTCCTGGCCCGAGCTGAGCAGCCGCTGAGCTACCAACAGGTAGCAGGATGGCTCAGCTAAAAAATAATAATAATAATAATAATAATTTAAAAAGAGGGAATGGAAAGGAGGGAGGGAGGGAAAGATAGGCACCTTGCCAACAGGCCTGTTCTAAGTGACAGTTCCTCCTCTTCTTATTTCTCATGCCAGCTGCAGTACAGAGGGGCACACGTCCATGGTTCCACTTATGTACTTCTCTGTATTTGAAGATTTTGTAAAGTTTTTTTTTTAACTTAAAAAAATTACCAAAATAATATATACTACTCTTTAAAAGGACGGGGAAAACACAGACAAATATCTAAAGTATTATTCTCTCTAATATTACAGACTCCTAAACCTTTGAATGAAGGAATACATTGTGATTTCTTTGAGCCATAACACAAAATCTGAGGAAAATCCAAATAACATTTTTACAGCAATGAGTCAGTGAGATCTTCAGCATCTAGGACTGTGGGAAGAAATTGAAAAGGGCTGATGAAATAACTAAATTTAACGTTATAACTAAGTTAAAATGAGATAACTTAAACTTTTATTAATTGCATGCACCAGTACATTTAGACATTTTCAAGGTCCTTGGAAACCCCTCAAGCTAATTTCAGAATGGATTTTTTTTTTTACTACCTCAATCAGTCAAGAAAGTTATATTAATCTCTCTTTGGTATTGATGAGAAGACGCTGAAGTACAGAAGAGTTTAACTTGTTCCAGATCCTACGCAAATCACTGGAATAAAGCAGAATGAATGTATACACATGTGTACACATGCACATACATACACGCAAAACAAGCATGTGAAGCTACCGTTAGGTAGGTTTCACCAATCCTTCGGCAAATGGTATGTGAAATCCAAATAAAACCTGACTCATAGAAAATAAATCATTGGTGATGCTTAAAGTATAATATTCTAGTCAGTGGGATTTTTCATCTATTCCCTATAAAATTTAAATTACTTTAAAAAATGTGATTCAATGATAAATGTCCAGGTAGATAAATGTTCATCAAGGCAGTTTTGTGTCCTAATCACAAAATCACAACCATTGCTTCTTAGGGCTTGACCTCAACTTTCAGAGTTTTGTTCCTATTAGTGGGTCGTACAGGATCGCATCTGACCCTAACAGATTTATAAATTACCATATCTACTCTTTTCATCTATTCTATGCAAATTTTTGCAGAAAAGCATTAGCATAAATGAGCGAGCTTATGTAAAAAGAGCATATGACAAATACCAGCTATCAGCAGGTATGATAAATGCCCTGCTCTCGAAAGTAAGGTGCTTACAGGTGAAGGAGTGACCACCTGCATAGGGCCCAATGGGCTAAAGTATATGAGATGAGGTGACAGTAGTAACCCCACTGATCAGCGTGTTGTCTGAACTATGATTTTGCATTAGAAACAAGAAGACCCTTAGCTGGGACAGGGGTCTCAAACTATCTTCATAGAAGGCCTCATACCATTGAATTCCCATTTACAGTTGTAGCCAGCTCAAGAGCTGCCAAGAGGTAAAGTGTTGAGGAACTTGAAAAAGAGCTTCCCGCCTTTTTTAATGTCCTCCCAGACCCTCACCCCCAGTGTCACTTGCCTGTGTGTTGATTTGGCGCCATTTCATAAGCACAGATTTGGTATTTAATATTTTGTAGCCACTATAATGCTGCCATTAAACATTTAGCTTTTCACCTAAAAATATTTAATTACAAAACATATACATGTGTTTTCTATGTCTAAAAAGCCAATTTAGATCATCGCCTCAATCCTGCCCTCTCTCCCCACCCAGCTGTGGCCTGGTGGGTATGTATACCTCCGTTTTTTATTTCCCAGTGAATAATGATATCAAGAAAAACATATATAAAATGAATTTGGGAGGTTGTTTTTATATATGATTTCCTACTAGATATATTGTGCTTCTATTTGCTTTTTCATTTAAACATGTATCTTAAATATCTTTCCAAGTCAGAGAGCATATAGGGCCCCTTCCATTGAATCATTTTTAATTCCTGGGATGATTTAGTCATCCCCTTTCATGGACATGTTGCTCCTTTCCTATTTTCCGCCACTATAAACACTGCTTCAGTGAACATTCTCATACCATAATAATTGTTATTAAAATGCAAAGAACAGTAATTGTTTTCTTGTGGCAATCAGAGGTGTTTCTGCTAAATTGCGAAGCAAATACCACACAGCAGGTGGTTAGTTCCTAGACCTGAGTGTCCAGGCATCACCAGATATCTCTCCCATAAGGGTTAAAACACTAGCTACACCTTAAATCTATGTACAGTAACTTCACTAACAATTGTCACCCCAATAAACTTTAATTAAAAAACAAACAAGCTAGCTTCCCGCTCACATTGCCAGTGAATCCCACACATTAGAGATTCATTTTATTAACTCTCACCCCCCTTTAAGCTACAAATGCCAATGGATTCTGTAAAGGAAAGCTGAGAGGAAGGGCACGTGGGATTTCCCAAATTAACAAGCTGGGGACGGTCATTCCAGGCAAAAGAAACAAGAGATGACCCGGGTGAAATGGGCCATGCGGGTAGTTTGCTCAAGGACAAACCTTACCATCAGCATCTGGAAGTCCGTAGAGTTAAGGAGCCACCATGTACCCTAAGTCTCTCTGATGGATGCCTGTTTTAACCCATCTCTGGGCATCGCCTGCTCAGTCAGCACAGAATGTGTTTTAGCTTCAGGCTGGGATGAAACACAGGGGAGTCGCAAGTGCAAGGTCAGCCTGAGAGTGAGCGCCTCCGTAAATATTACATCCCAGATGCCTCGCTTCCCTCACCCTTTCCCTTACAGCAGAGCACACATGCATTCATGTGGTCAGAACTTGAATTACATGGAGTCTAGTAAACAATTGTCCCTTGTCAGTCAAGCTTAACAAGCAAATCTCCCAACATCACCTTTCTGAGAGTTTAGTTGAAAGCATGCAGGTAAACCTCCCTTTTCCTTTAATTTATATTTTTACTGCCTCACTTTATAAATGGTTTTGGTTGCTTTCACAGTCAGCTTAACACCCTGTATATATAGCAGTGTTCTCAGTGTTCATTCACTTTACCATGATGGAAAAACATTCTAGCATCGTTGATTATCATGCCCAATAGAAATGCTACTCTGAGGGGATGGCAAAATATTGATCAGCTCCGCTGTGTAGATGGTTGTGCAATTTTTGTTCTACGTCTTGGCTAGGCCTTAGAAAAGAGTTGGAATATGAGCTGAAAGGGTGCAGAATGTCCCTCCAGGTGGCTGTAGCCACCCAATTCTTAGTCCTTGGTCCATGGAACA